TGTTTCATCCACAACCTCTTGATTCTTTTGTTGTCATGAGAAAAGAGAGGATAAATATTTATATAGAAGAAGTATAGAACCAAAGGGAAGTATAGAGGAAGATGAAAGGATCCGGGAAGGACAATATGTCGCATGTTTAAATTTATAATTATGTGCAATTAATTTACCCTTTCAACTTCCACATATCCATTTGTAACCGCAATCAACTATTATTAGCATATTAAACACGATCTTACTTGAAGTTAAAAAAACATTAACTTCTTACCAAAAGTATCAAAGAAAATCAACGGAAAATAAAAGAGGCAAAATTGGGCCTATCAAATAAACATTTATTCATAATAATTATAAGAAATTCAATAGTTGCATGTAAAATGACCAATTTGCGTCCAACTTAATATTCAAAAGTATAAGAAATGAAGGGTAAAAACGGTAAAAAAAAAAATTCTCCAGATCATGCCTTTTATATATGCTATAGATATTCCTTTTCATTTTTTTTAAAATTGACATATTTGAATAGAAAATTTGAAATTTCTCATTCTTTTCAACTTTTTATTTTAAATTCGTCAAATTTTATAATCTCTTTTCATTCTTTAATAATAAAATTGATGGGATTTTTTTTTTAATTCTACAAAATCACATAAAATCTGAATATGAAAAATGATGGAAAATCCCGAGTTGTGAAACATCATGAAAAATTACGAACAACATAAATAAAATTAAAATTAAAAAACACTCAAATGTGTGCAAGAATTGGGGGTGTTAGAGGGCTGGCGCACGCAATGCCACTACGCCAAAAATATATTTACTAGTTTTTCTTAGATTTTTATATACTAATTTGTCATCTTTAATTTCAATCTAAAGGAATGGATAAGAAAATAAATTAAGAGAGGAGAGAGAATAGTAGGGAAAATTTTGAAAGAAATACGAAAAATGAGAGGGAATGGAGAGTAAAAAAGAAAAATAAAAAGCATGAAAAACTTTTTTTTTTTCCTTAATACAAGGCATGAATCACGTTGGCAAAAAAATAAAATAAAATTTTAAAAATAAGTGCGAACCATGTGATTCATGAGGTAGAGTCACTCTCCTAATTTTAATACATATAATTTTTTTTAATATATGAACGCCAGTCGCTCTTGGAGTTTATGATCCTTGTCGATCAATTGATTGACGGTTTAGGAACTGCTATGTCGATCGGATCGATTTGGACAATTCTAACCTACATTACATCCCTCATATTTGTGAATGAGTGTAGTAAAAGAGATTTACTGATAAGTGAATTGTGAAAACTACTTCAACAACTTTTATATAATTATTTCAATGTATGGGTATATACTATTTTAAATTATTTTAAATGACTAATATTTGATTTTAAAATTATCGTATTAATAACATATATTCGAAAAATTATTCTACACGGTGTATTAAGTAATTATAATGAAAAAAGCAGGGTGTTAAAAAAAAAATTTATACATATATACATAATGAAAAAACCATGAAAGTAGTAATTTTAAACGTGCTAAAATGTAGTGAACAAAAAAGATTGACTTATTCAAACGCGTCTTCTCAAACTACGCATCCTCCGTTTTAAAACCCTAAATTTCCCCTCTTTTTTCTTCCCTCTCCGCCGCCGCATCTTTTTTTCCTTCTTCTCCGCCGCCACTCTCTCCACTCTTCCG